TGTTCCACTGTTTCTCCTCTTGATCATGACCTTGCTTAGTATTCCTGACCACTTTTCCTAGAACATAACTATTATTTTAAAATACAAATAATAGAAACTGCAATATATTAGGTATTACTAAATTCAACTTTTAAAAAGTGTTTTGTTACATACTTTCCTAGGGAAGAAGGTCAAACTAATCTGTTACTTCCTCTAAGACCCCTGTTGACCATGGGAGATATACTTTGGTTGCTACCACTTGGGCTTTATCTTCTACCACTCAGAACACTTTTCTTTGTCTTTGTCTCACATCCCAGCTCTTGCACAATAGCCAGAAATACTTAGTACAGAGTAGGGAACTTTCAACAAAGATACTATACATTTGACAATTTTAAACCATCATTATATTTCTACTCAAACTGTTACAAACAATTGCCTACCTGGTACAATGATGTCTCCAAAACCCAATATAGAAACTGGCATGAGGCACACACTCATTACTGAGAAATAGGCCAGCTTTGGTACCCTGATGACCACTGGTAACTGTAATTATAAAAAAAAAAAAAAAGAAAAAAAAAAGGAGGCCACCAATGAACCTGTTAGGCATCTTTACCCATATCCTTAGAAAGGAAAGAACCGATATTAGAGTTATTGTATTAATGTTATAAAATCAACACTTTAGAAGAGCTTGAAATCAGAGAACATAAATTAGATATATATATATGTATATATATACTCAATGCATAGAAAGCCTGAAAGAAATAGATTTGTAGTTTTGGAAAAACAAAACCCAGCACACATGTAGGGTTAACAGTACTAACCCAGTATCCCCACATCTAACCTTTGTTTTCCCCATTTTACCAAAAATAGGACTCAGGCCTTGAAATAGTTTTTTGTTTTGTTTTTTTTTTTTGAAATCTGGAGTCTTTCCCCCAAAGAAGAATCTTGTCTCAGAGGGTATGATTTAAAGTCCAATGAACGTATCTGAAATACAATCCTTACTTTCTCATGGGGAGCTGAGGGTTGAGCAGTGGCTTCCACCAAGTTTCCATCATTCTAGGATGAAACCCAAGTCAATAGGTATTTAATAATTTAGAATAACTAATAAAAGGGCTATTATTTTGTGAGAAATAAAGTTTTACAATACCTTAACATGCACTACATGACCAATGAATTACACAGGAAAGCAAAATTATTAACCGGACACACATATAAACACCGGCAGCTGTTTGTATTTGACTGCCACCCCTACCTTTTCATTATTTCCAAAGGGTCCAGCTGCAAGTTCAACCATGATACTCTCGCCATTCTAAAATTGAGAAGAAAGGTGAAAGAAATTCTTCAGTTAGTTAGAGGGAACAATCTGCCAGTATTTAAGAATTATTTGACCCCATGGCTTATGACCTACAGTAAGCTGATGAAAAATGGACTATAGACTGCTTTTTTCCTAAAACAATCTCTATAGATAACAAAAGTTGGAGTCACCTCAAACCAATTTCACCTAGCACCTAGCTGCTCCACTTTATCAGAGCTCAACAATTATCAGAAAATGACAGATAGATCACACAAAGGTTATTCAGCTGAAGGTTCGAGCACTGATTTGTGCTGACAACTAATACCTAGCATTTCTAATGGGCTACAAATTTTAAGTGCTTTCACTTATGTCTTATACTATGTGTCTGTAATCATTTTTAGCAATAACAGTGAATAGGGACACAAGAAGTATTGAAAATTTTTTATATTTAGATTTGTAATAAATATTGGTAACTTTATTTGAATAAATAAACATCTGACCTTCTGGCCACTCACCACAGTAACAATGAAGCCAAACTTGAAAAAAGCCCAGCCCTAAAGAACCTGAGAAGCTTCTCTAGCCTGATTCTTGTCCAATTTCAGCCCTGCCTGCTTTTTATGCCCCAGTCAAAACATTAACCTTAGCTGAACTTTTCCTTGTGTATGCCTAAGGTGTTTTTATATGGACTATGTGAGAAGTTCATTAAAAAGTTCTTTTCTGATAGCCTCGTCTGTTGAGGAGGGAGAAACATTTTGACGTAGCAAGCTAAGACAGCATGAGCACCCATCTTATGTGTCATGTGATGATAAATATATGCCCCAAACAGGTGGTAGGAAGCGAAACACATCCTGAATTTTATGAAGACTTGATTGATTAACTATTAGTATTTTCCATGTGGGTGGGGTACATTGGAGAAATTACTTGAGTATTTTTAAGAGGACTTCACTGGTACCTGAGCTGAGCAGAAAGAAGGATAAAATCCCTAGCTACAGAAATCTTTTCCTCATGTTAAGCTTCAGGTTACAGAAAGGTTAAATCACAGGAGTTTATGAAAATAAACTAATATTAAATATAGTTCCTTACAGCAACTTCCCACAATATGATTCAATTTCCAGATAAAGAGTTCATTTTGGTTCAGTTTCTAATTGTTATTTAAAACATTTAACTGAAGATCATCACTGACATCCTTTCATACATTCAAAGATTTCTGAGTAACTACTATTTGCAAGATACTACACAAAATACGGTGATAGGTGAAAAAAAATGAAGACAAGCTCTTATTCCCTGTTCTTCTATTTCTATAGCCACCTGTCCTGCTCACTCATTAAAAGTTTACTAATACCAAGATCAAGAACATGTTTAGAATGTCCAATATTTAATCTTTGAAATTTTCAGTGAAAAACAAAAATTCATAAATCATGTAATATCTGATTTTCATTTGAGTTACCTACCAAAGTAAGATCCATAGCTTAAAAAAGAAAAAATCAGACTGAGAAGAAGGTGTTAAAATAAATCTACAACAGTGAACTCCAAAGAGCACTTCAATCTTTTCCACTGGATCAAATTACTAGAAATCACATTCCTAGTCAGTGGGAACTAAGACAGAAAAAAAGAAGATGAAAAATTTCCTAAGCACAGAAGAAAGAGGACTCAAAGACATCTTTATTATTACCATGTACCTTTAAAATTCTGAAACCTTGTATGTGTAGGGAATGGAAACAGTTTGCTGGCAGACATGTTTGGCATTTATAAAGTGATACTAGTATTAAAACAGAATGGAAGAATTATATTTTAAAAGAGCTTAGTTATAGTTTAAAGCTATATCCACTGTGTAATATATGTGTCATATGCTATGACTACTTGTGGCTTTTAGAGATGCTTTCATTATGAGATCTCTGATGGAACAACTTATAGAGACATTTTCTGAACCAAATAAATTGATACAAGCTAGAACAGCTTTAGATAGAACTTTAAAAAATGCTATAGTAAATTAACTTTTTCTGTTAGAGTCCACAATACTACTACCATGCTTTTTTTAGGTTACTAGTACAAATGAAGTCAGTGAGCCAGATAGCTCATCATTAAAGCACAGAAAAGTGCTAGTAAAATGGTTCGGGTGGCTGTAATTTGGGACAATTAACTAACTAACTACATTTGTTACCTAGTTGCAATGTTAGCTCCCCCATGGGGTACATGTTTCTCTTACGTCAATACAGCAAATACCAGAAATGCAGAGATTTCACAGATAGTAGGGGCTAAAGAATAAAGAACTACTGGGGGGAAAAGTAGTGATTATAATATCAAATTAAATATAGAGTGACAACGGATAAGGAAATGATACAAAATTACAAAGCAAGACTCAAAGTGAGGAAAGTTGAAGAATCAAGCAACAATAATATATTCATGAGACAGGAACAGGGACAAAGTAGAAAAACTGGGCAAATAATGAAGGACTACTACACTCGTCCAGCACTTCTCCCTTACTCTAAGAACAGCACCATGATTTTACTGAGGAGCTAGTGGCACCACTGGGAAGAGATGATCTGGGAGCTTCCAGTTGCTATTATTTTAACCTTATGGAAAAACCCACTCTGAGACAATGAACAGATGGACAGAAGCGGAAAATGAGAGCACGTGTCCCTGGGTCTAGGTTCTCCTGAGGCCAGGCCCCCCGGCCTTTGCACATATACTGGATAGATGGGTCCTCTTTCGTATAGAAAAGGTAGGTTGGGTGCTGGCAGTTGCAACCAAAAGAATTCTACTGATGGAAAGAATTCTACTGATGCTAGGATTTAAAGGGAGAATGGAATGCCAGCAATCACTCAGCTGATTAGGAAACTGAGGGCCAAGTGACTAAGCCCAGGGTTGCAAGGTTAGAGAGCTACACTTTAGGTCTTCAGATTTTCAGTGTGGTGCTCTTTTTCAGTCTCAAACTATGGTTACAGAAATAAAAGTAGCAATAACACATTTCTATTCTTTTTGCTGTCTATACTGTCTACAGCAAATATTTATTATTCTATAATAAGAAAAGTTACTTTAAAATGGGTAGCAAGAAGATTTACAGACATTCTCATATTTACATCAATCAGGAGATATTTTTTATTTAGCAGAATGGCCTAAAGGCTTGAAAATATCCCCTATTAAAAGGCCAATTTCAACGACAATTCTCTTAAGAGAATTAGAACTCACTCAATGGTAAATATTTGTAAAACCAAAACTCTAAGAGCATGTTTAAGAGCTTCATCTTTTAGCATGTTTCTCACGGATTTCAAAAATATCATACCTTTGTGATGAATGGTGTTATGAAAACAAAAAATACATCATAGAGGAGGAGGAGGCCTAGAAGTATCACACATGACTGTTGAAGAAAGAAACAAATTTAAAGGTCAAACTTCCTATATCTAAATTAAGAGACATTATTTTATAAGTACAAATAAATACGTGAACATACATTTAAACACTATTTTTAAGGGATTTAATGTTTATTACTATTTGTAGTTTTATTCTACAAGTCATATTAAAACTTAACTCCTTTAACCCATTCTTTTAAAAAAAAATCACTGAATCAAAGAAATGTTCTTCCCTGATATTTAGTCTTGTATGAATTTTATGAATTTGGCATATTATATAAATGACTAAGAATACTTTAGCTAGCAAATCGGAGGTTGCCTGGGTCTGGGGTTTAGGACTGATTGCTAAAGGGTACGATAGAGTTTTTGAAGAGATAAGAAATATTCTATAATTGAGATGGTGGTTACAAAGTTATATATTTATAAAATTTCAATAATCTGTTCATTTAAAATGGGTATATTTTATTATATGTAAGTTATACCTTAATAAAGTTGTTTTAAAAAGAAAAAATTAACTAACGTATTACAAATCAACTATACTTCAATTTAAAAAAAAGAAGCAAAAAAATTATTTTAGCTGGCGTAGTATACTTTACCTTGAAGTTGGGTAACTTCAATGTTTTAATTAAATTCAAACAGAAAGCAATCCCCAAGATATCCTGCAAAATCCAAGCCCACCTAAAATCAAAAGAAGTTACTCTATTGCTTTACTCCGTTATTTTTAGGATGGAACTTTTCAAAAGAAACAGATCACTAAAGTAACACTGTTCAATTGCTAGGATTTAAATAACTTAATCAATTATTAAGCAGCAATTATGACAACCAAAAAAACCTCTCATACTCCCCATATTTAGTAATTTACTGTCCTAGTAGAAAAACAAATACCACTCTGCCAAGAAAATGCTGAAAGGCTACCTCCGAAGAACATACGTCAGACGCAAGTGCATCATTTATCCTTAATCTTTGGATTTATACATGTCTCTTTTTAGAAAGGTAGCTCATAACAAAGGATATTATTGTTAATATACATCTAGACAGTTAAAGCATAAAGAAATGAGAACTATAAGAAACTGACATGAATAATTATCAATTGATTGTCATACCTAAAGCAGCCTCAAATTATATGAACTTTGCTCCCAAACTTTAGGCCATCAAACCTTTTTGGGTTTTAATAATTTTATTAAGAAACTGTTAAATTTTTTTTCTGGTTCTCCTTCCTACAAATGGACAGATTCCTGTATATTTTCCTATATTTCCTTCTTCTTCTATGAAAGATAGCATACTTCAGATACTCTTCTACACTTTGCTATTTTCACTTAAAAATATATCCTGGAAATCACTGCATATTAATTCACAGAGAGAGAGAGGCTCTTCTTCATTCTTTACAGCTGCATTGCACTCCTCCGTGTAGCCATACCACAATTAAGTACATTTCTGAAGCCTATTTCAGCTTAGATGTTTAAAGCTTAATTCATATTTCCTTCTTTAGACAACCTCAAATCCATAAGCACAAGATCTGTTTATTAAAGAATTTATTTAGCTTGTTTCAAGACTATGGTGTTTTGGGAAAAAGTAAAAAAAAAATCATAATCACAATGAATAATTAGCAAGGCAAGATATAAAATAATCCACCCTTCGTCTAATCTAAAAGCAAATACAATGAGTACTCATACCTATCTTCATTTCGAAATACAGCCCAAACAACAGCTATTGCTATGCACAGTCCAGAGAGAAAAATAAGTCTCACTTCAATGCTTTTGCCACGACACACTATCCTAAAAAACAGATTGAAATAGGTTAATTTACCCTATAGATGAAATACAATGTTCACTTAATATGACAAACGAACAAAGTTACAAGAAAGCTACTGAAATACCAATATAAAAGTCTTGATTTTAAGTACAACAAATGATAGACAATAAAATATTTATCAGTTAGATTAATCAGTAGAACTGTGATGATAAAAATGCTCTATACCTGTGCTGTCCAATACAGTCGTCACTAGCCACATGTGGTTATTTGGCACTTGAAATGTGGCTAATGACACTGAGCAAATGAATTTTTAATTTTATTTTTTTTTAAATTAATTTAAATTTAAATAGCAATGTGTATATTGCTCTGCACAGGTTTAAAATAACACTCCTACTTCTCCTTGTGTTGTTTTAAGTTACAAATACCAACATTATAGGCTTCCTCATAAGAGATACATACGTGCATTGTCCACATGGTATCTTACGAATTAGGGCAGCAAGACAGTTGTACAGACTCATCGCTGATGCTATGCAGAAAATTGCTATCATAACATAAACTAGAAAAAAACAAGACACTAAATTATATGAGAACAAAAGGAAATATGATAAGAAAATATTTATAAGATCAATATTAATTATTTGGCTTTCTTATTGGATTATATTTTCAATGCAATTACCAGACTCTAATCTGAATTGGTTACTAAGCTGAAAATATTCAGATCTTGAGTTTTAAGAGTGGGTATTTTATGTGTTGCTTTAGTTCCCTTACATACTGATAGGATTGCTTAAGGGGCTAAACCTGGCTCTACATTTTCAGTAATTCAGTGATTCATACTCACATGTTTATGAAAGATGTCTATGAAGTGAGCTGCAGACATGTGTGAGTATTTAATTTAAATGTAACAAGTGGAAGAATTAGTAAACCATTATAAATGCTTTGTAAAATGCAGCTTACGGATGAAAACTAACACCTGTGCTAACCATGTTATCTATATTTTCCCATGGTGGAATTTGTCTCTAGTAACTTGACTTGTGGCAAAACCAAATCCATTGAAACAAATCTCTTTGTCAAGATAGACTAAGGTAGTTAAAATTCACAAATGTTTTTCTATATTACCTATACTTATTTGAGAATTATTTAAATTTAAAAACATTTGATCCCTCTATTGTTAAAAAGGGGGAGAAATTATTGTACTCCTTATTGTACTCTAAAATAAAAGTGTTTTCTCAACTTTCTCAAAATATCATAATGGAAATACAAATTTTACCTGAATTTTGCAAATTCCACTAGATTTCAGAAAACTGTAACTCTGTTCTTCAGGTGAGAAGACAGTAAACGGAAATAGTAAATCAGGGATAGTCACTTCCTAATTGGTGAGCTTGGACAAATTACTTTTTCACTAGCTTATTATTTGTTATTTTTATTATTGGATATATATACGTAATCTGAGTAGTAAGACAGACAGTCAAAGATTGCCAAATTGAGTTTGGGGAGTCATCTGCCAACAGTTTCCAACCCAAGTTTTAAAATTCTAGTGGAAATCATGCTCAGGAGGCCCTAACAGAGTTTTAAGGTGTCTCATTCAATGTCAGGCTATATCAAAGAAATGATTAGGCATGATAATTTGGTTAATATAACTATCCTTAGGTACTTTCTTGAGTATGACCTAGCCTAAAGTGGTAAGGAGAAACTTAGTAATTTAGTACGTTAGATATATTAAGAAATGGCAGCAATTTTAACCATAAGCAACCATTTGAAGGTATACTAGATCTTGCAATTTATACACCGTTGTCAGAGTCACAATTAGATCCCATGTCCTGGGATAACCATGAGGTTTGATGATCTTCCTTTTACATTGAAAATTATAAACAGGTCAACTTTTTAAATAGCAATGAGTTTAAGGAAATTTCTTACCAAAACATGCTTTAAGAGTAAAGAACAAAAATCTCTTTTTTCTATCAAAGGCCACGAAATATATCAACTGGGCATCAGACACAAATAAATGAAGGCTGAGAATTAAATCAGAAAAACTAGCTGCGCAATGACGACATAATACAAAATCACCCTAGTGCCAACACTCCCAGCAACAGACCGAAATGTGAGTGATACTCAAAGAATAATTTTTTCCTAATTGAAAATATATGCCACAGGTATAGTTTTAAAATTGCTGCCATAGGACAGGAGAAGTTGAACAATAAGCTAAAATGAACCTTAGGGCCTCAGTTTTCTAGTCCAGAAAATTATACTAATATTCTCTAAATAAGCACTGTAGCCTGTGGTAGTTCTTACGAAGGGTTTTTGCTAGTTCTCACCAGGCACACTCTCCTTTTCCCTGGTCTCCCTCCTCTTTTTGCTGAGCGTTGGCCACAGATGGCAAATTTCCATCCTATTAGACCACTAAGAAGACTGTCCAAGGGATGGGCAAGCCATTATCTTTACCTTCTTAAAGGAAAAATGATCAGTTATTCTCTAGACCACAGACAAGTACCTGTGTGTCTTTAGATGTAGTGTGGTCTTAACTGTTTATACAAGCAAAATAAAATTTAAGCAATACAAAACCTTGATTTGCAAACTGACAAAAAGGACAAACCACACTCTGGGGGTAAGCAGAAACAATAAATCAGTAATGTGAATAATCTTCCATTTCATGTAACTAAATATAGCCACCAAGAAGTCCTTAGACTGCTGCCTAGATACTGGGCTATCATGCTTTATCTGCAAAGAGGGAAACTTAGGGACCACAGCAATTCTTTCAAGTCATCCATGAAGAAGTGTTCTTATCTAAAGACACACTATATTTTTAATCAGAATTATTTTTTTACCAGTGTAATGGGAACCTAATACTTCTGATAGTTTAAAAAGTTAACATCACTTTTTAATTATTCACTTAAGTTTTCCAGGTAGAACGTCTTAAAGGAAAAAAAAATCTGGCAAAGTAAATGAAAAGACTGTATGCTAAAAGGAGCAAATACAAAATATGACTTCTTACCCAACCATTTGTAGAAGAAATAAAGTAAGACCATCATAATACAGCAGATGACCACAAATATTATAACTGTTAGAGGACTAAAAGTAAAATATTCTTCCTTCTTTCTCTTCATTTCTCTATCTTCAGTGTTCATCACTGCCTTCATGCTTTCCCTGCATAAATATACACAGGAAGTTCAGCAAAACTCTGCCCAAGTATAGTTTTTTAAAAATCTATCTCTAACACCGACTTAAATTAATTTATTACAAAGTAATATACTTAAAAAAAACTGCACACCAAAAATAATTTTTTAATCTGGAAACTCCCTATAGTTCTAGTCTCCAGAGTTGATCTGTTATTAACCACTAACTTTTGAAACAGCATTTTTTTTCCTGGAAGTGGAACTGTTAAAACAGATGACATTTATTATATAAACAAATTAATGTTTATGGATGTTTATATTATCTAATTTGGAAACTATACTGACATAATAAGTTTCAAATGATAACCAATTCTTTTTCACACTTAATGTTACCAACTTAGAGATAGTGAAGTACTTTTGAAGTTAGCTTCTTTTAAATGTAAACATTAAATTCTTCTACCAAACAGCCGAGAATTTACTATATATCTGTTTGGTGCCCATCAATGTATTATGAAGGATTCAAAAGAACTTCAACACATAGCTTTGTCCTCCTTGATTTAAGATAGCAAAACATTGTTTCTGTTTCTTCTAACAATCCATGCTGGGTTACCCAGCTAACAAAAGGCAAACACAGAAGCTGAAGAGGAAAGAGTCACAAGTGTCCCCTGTGGAGCAGTCTTTGTTCTTTCACCTTGTTTTCTCTCCCAGTTACACAGAATCCACTTGATACTTTTCTAGTTCCAGTCTCCTCAACTCTGGTCTACCAAACTCCATTCCCTTTTTATATATCCTGACCTTTTTTTTTTTTTTTACCAGATCTGGGCTCAATACAAACTTTAGGTTAAAAAAAGACTTATTTCTAAAACACTGTACATTTGCCAAACTGCTTATTTACCAACCTGCTACTTTCTTATTAGAAAATTGCTGATTGGGATGATCACTATTCTAGGCATCTGCGACTCTAGGGAGGCTGCCTGGGAAAAGAGCAGGGAGAGAGTTTGAGGAGAGACACACAGTACCTCCCTGACATGTGGAGCTGGATGACAGGGCATTAACAGAAGTTCCATGATAGTGGTATTTGAGTGGGAAAATGTGTCAACCTTTGGTATCTATCATTGCAAACAGATACATTTAAAGACATTTTCATCATAGCACACATATAAGTCATGATAATAAAAAAGTTACATATTCATATTAAGTGTACTAAAAGGCATCAGATAATTTCTTGAGGGGAAACATATATCAGACTTATTTCATGTTAAAATAATACAATTCATCTTTTAAAAAAACCGTACTCTTAAATCAGCTCAATAGTCATATGCAACAGGAAGCTAAGCTTTCTTTCATGCCATCTTGAATTTATGAAGCTTGAGGACCAGCGATCTCGTTGTAATAAGATTTTAACTCTCCACTGGAAAGTCTTTATATGGAACCAAAGCATTTTTCCCTTTTGCATATAGTACATTGTTCATTTGGCAGATAATTCTGGGTTATGAGGTCCTGTTCTGGCAAATTTTCCCTCCCCTAAGTCTTACTCTCTTTTCCCTTCTCTTTCAGTCTAACTCTCTTTATTTGCTAAATAACAGTCCTCGTGTTATTTTTTTTAATTAGATATAACTGACATATAACACTGTATTAGTTTCAGGTGTACAACACAATGATTTGCTATTTGTACATACCACAAAGTGATCACTGCAATAAGTCTAGTTCACATCTACTGCCACACAGCTAAGCAATTTTTTTTCTTGTGATGAGAACTTTTAAGATCTATTCTTTTAGCAACTTTCAAACATACACTACAGAATTATGAACTATTGTCACCATATTTCATTACATCTCCAGGACTTATTTATAACTGGAATTTTGTGCCTTTTGAGCACCTTCACCCATTTTGCTCACACTCCACCTTCCTACCTCTGGTAACCACCAATCTATTCTTTGTATGTATGAGTCTGGTTTTTTTTTAGATTTCACACATAAATGAGATCATTTGGTATTTGTCTGACTTATTTCACTTAGCATAATGCCATCAAAATCCAGCCATGTTGTTGCAAATGGTTTTTATGTTCTCAATAATTTGACTTTTTATGAAACTTTTTCCATTTTATCACTGATTATCATCACTCTCTTTCTCTATACTGTCACCCCTCTCATCCCCAAATACATACAAACACTTAGTTATTTCTGTCTTTAGATAATCAGCCACCTCAATTTCAAAATCCACAATCCCGCCGTAAAGGACATCTACTCTCCCAACTGGTTACTGATGGCAACATACTGTTTTTGCCCATAACCATGTTTCATGAACAAAATAACTTACAAGTACTCCATTCCCATTTTCAACTTTCTTGAAGAAGAGCCTGCCCTGACGTGCATGTGACGCTTGCCATGCTAACTCAAAGTGTCAAGCATGGGCCAGAAAAATCACTTGGGAGCTTGTTCAAAATGCAGAATCTGGGCACCCATCCCAAGACTGCTAAAACTGAATTTTCATTTTAATGAGATTTCGGTTTGTATGCACCAGACAGTTTGGGAAGCATTACTCTAGAGAAGAAACAATTTACACAGTAATGGAAGTATAGTGGGAATCTATATTAAATGGGAAAATGTTTTCAATGAGTCAGTAGTTTTGGGGAAATTTATTTATAAAGTTTCACCATAAAATCTAGAAAATGATTTTGGAGATCTAAGATACTATGTTTCATAAAGATTAATAATGAAGAAAAAACAATGCTTACTCATATGAAAACATGTGCCTAATGTATGTTGAAATGTGTTTTCCAAATTTGTAAAACATTTAAAGCTCAATACTCCAGGTTTAACACTTGTTAAACCCTAAGATTTCTCTCTTAATGTAAGTCAATCAAATTTTAGTATTTTAAGAAATTAGAAATAAGCTTATTATCTTCATTTAGCTTCAAATAAGCCCCTTTTAATGGAACCTACAGATCAATTTGTAAAGTGAATACATTGTTTTTTACACATAAAATATTGTGTTCTGAGTATGATTTTTCACTCAGAGTTATAAATGTGAACTGATCCTTTTAAACTATATTGCCCATTGTAATCTAAAGCCAAAGGTACATAACTGTAAAAAGATTGGGTTTAGGTTGCTATTAAATAGAGAAATCCAAATTTTATGTACATTTGGAATTTCTGTATTTAAATTAAAATATGGACATGCTTAATTAATATCCTTAGAATTCCTAAAGCATTAAACAGAATGGTGAGGTCACACTGTAATGATTCAATTTAGGAGGAGCTGAAAGACTTCCCAGCTTCTCTTGTTTATTTTCTTCCAATTCAAATAAATAGGCACATTAGGATGTTAGTTATCTTCCCCTTTTCTGGGAGAGATAATTAAACAGCTTAATTTAAAAGAGTCTTTGATGGAATTTCAACGTTTCCACGCCAGCAGAACTGGAGGAGCCTATGACTCGCTTCTTCTCAACGAGGAGTTAAATGACCGGTACGAGGACAAACTTGCAATCTAATCTAATCAGCACTATATTTCGGAAACAATTAGAATTTTAAATGTGGTTACATGATAAAATGATTAAACAATAATAATTTTTACCCATTTTTCTTAAAAACACTACAGTTTAATTAAACTTACAATTCAATTAGTCCACTCCAATATCCTCCTAATGCCACAGTGAACACAGAAATCACAAAAATTACCACCATAGTATAGTCAAAGTTAGGCCACGAAGGAGAATACATTTTCACAGTAACATTATCTCCGAGAGTCTGAAAGGCAAAATAATAATAAATACAGTGTTTTCTTTTTACTACAGCATATGGCAGCAATATTCCAATGTCATTCTGGAATGGACACTATACACAAGACAGTCAACAATACTGGAACTATTGACAAGATACTGTGGTCTCTTGTCAAAATCATGAGGCTGTGCTTTGGTTTATTAGATCTTGAAAGTGCAGCACTGAACACAATCATATTTTGTTCAGGGATTTAAAGTTAAGATAAATGATATGACACAAAGATTTTTAAAAGGAATCCAAACAGAACTATCCTTTCTAAAGTCAGTGCTCTGAAACACTTTGTGCTAAATGGGAGAGGAGGTTGAGGGGGATGAATACTTTCCAAATAAAGATACGATAGGCTTTTATAACTTCTTGTTAGCAAATGAAGCAGATACAATAATCTAAATAAAATATCAAGGATTAAAAGAGTTGTACTATTTATAAAC